TATCCGGGGAAGGTGAAGGGAAGGCCCCGTGTTAGCACTTGTTCTGTGCGTGTGTGTGAGTATGTGTGCAGGAGTCGGGTGATGTCACCTCCAGCACCTCCAAAACACTACTCAGCTTTAGGTGGTCTACTTTACTGGAGTCCTCCCAAGGATAAGACCAAAGAAATGCACCGTTGAGGCAGATGAATGGTTCCTCCAGGCTGGTAGTTCATCTCCAAAAGTGGTAATACAAACTGCAGGAGAGGGGATGCAGGCCAGGCCACTTGTTGGTGTTCAGTGCCTCTGTATTTCCCTGGCGTCTGCAGCTGTGGTAGGGGTGTTGGAAGATACATTCCAGTTAGTTTCTTCCAGTATTTGTTTTGACCTGTTGCCTGTGAATACATTGAAGTCCTCTTTCTGAACCTGCTGATGCTGTGAGCCTTGAATCTTGAAGCAAGGTTCAGGAGTTCACTACCTCAAGTGTAAGCACACAGAATTGTGCACATCGCTCCCAAGAATGGGCATAGTAAGGTTTTATACAGCAGCAGAGTGATTCCTTTGTCTTGCTGACATCTTGTTGGATTCTGGGCTACCACTGCGTGTTAAACTCATCTTTCAGAGAACCGTAAGTGTAGAAAAAGGCTTAATTGGCCACTATGTTCCCAGCTTGTCCTGCGGAGGTTCCTGAAGTCGAGTTGGATGGACTGTAGTTTTGAGACCTCTGTATTCCTGTTAACCTTCTTTTTCATATGGGTTGGCAGCATTTTTGTGCTACTGCTGGGTGTGTTGTGGGTTTAAAAGGTGAGGTCTTTGGAGTGCAGACCGTGTGAGGAGGTCTGTAGTGCTCAGCCAGAGGGGCTGTGTTTTCCCCGCTAAAGCATCTTGATTTTGCTGAAGGTGGCAGCAAATGTGTAGTTACATCTAAGCAGACAAATGGTAAGATGACAACTAAAATTGATACTTTTAGTTAGACATTGTCATTATATCATTTTAGTAGGAATAAGCTTGTGGTATCTCACGAAGGCTTCTGATTTCCAGCTATACTAGCTTTGTCCTTCTTTTGACATGTGCTGTGGTTTCTAAGATACGGATCCTGTTGTGACCTCTCTCTCAGGCTTCATAAACATCTATGTTTTGGCTGTGCAAATGTCAAGTGTTTTTAGCAAAAAAAAATATTTTTCCTGTAGAGGGCAAGTTAAACTCAATTACAAGGACAAAAACAACTGAGCAGCACAATTTGAATCTGCTTGAAAGATACGGATGTGACTGGAAGTTGTGAGGAAGCCGAAGTTGTGCAGGAACTTGCAGGAGCATTGGAAGAGGCTGGTGACATCCTCTGACATTATAGTGATGTCTTAGCCTTGGAGAAAGATCTTTAGTTTTTGTAACAAACTCCTCGCATTGCAGATGGATTCAAGACAAAGCTTGAACAGCTTTGGCAAATCAAGAATTCCGAAATTGAATTTTGTTTAATTAAAACGAAAAACTTTTCTAGTCCCTGGTATAGGCCAATTTGGTGCTGCTTCTACATTGTCTGTAGCCGATTCTCCTGCAATCTATAAGGCAGGTTAGAGAGAATCGATGTTTTCATTAACTACTGAGACAAGCAATACTGTTCAGCTTCAAACTCAAAGAATGTGTCAGCTCCTAAAAAGGATGTGTGTTCGTGTCCGGCGTAACTGTGCTGAAGAACATTCTTCCAGCAAAAATAAGCCGTTCTTCACGAGGAAAGCATATTCCTCGGCAAGAACTCTTAACGGAGGACTATTTATTGCCAAACACAGTTTTGCACATGTTTTCTCTTCGCCTCTTACAACATGAACCCAAACTTCCCGACACCTCACAGGTACTGCGTGTTTCATCCGGTGGCGTTAGCTGTCCGCTTAGCTTTGTGTTCTGGCACATCTTCATACCTTACTGTGAAGGGTTGACGTGACCTCTGCTGACAGTGTGAGCATTTCGGCAGTGCAAGTAATCCCAGCTCGCTTGTTGGAGGAACCGGTGCTGTGTATTCCCCAGGTGAGGGTGAGAAACTGGGCCCCAAGGACACGGATCTGCCTGTGTCAGCCCGTTCGCTGAAACGCAGGGATTGACCTCGGGGGGTCTGTAGTAGCCGAGAGCTGTGTGCGGCTCACGCTCTGGTGTCAAGAGGTGGTCTGCAGTGTGAGGGTGCTGAAAGCCCAATGTCAGAGGTCTGTGGTAGAGCAGAGGCTGTAACCCAGATTTCTTAACTCTGGGCTTGTTTTCGAACCGCTGTGCTACTGTTCTTACTTTCCAGGTCCTTTCTGCATGATATTAAAGTGCTTTGTCTAGAGTACAAATTCAGAAAAATATCTTTTTTTTGGTGAAAATGTGATTTAAGACACAACTAAGAACATCTGGGAGTAGATTGTTAATGTAATAACATTAGAAAGCATTCCTGTTTCTGTAGCTACCATGAAGTATGGAACTTGAAATGCTGCAAATAAATGTGATGTATGGGCAGAAGCTGCGCTGTCGGTGGAATGAGGAGGGGGGTTCTTGTCTCGGCATGCTCTTCGTGCAAGGAAGGTGCGCCCGCATCCACCGGAAAATGTGCAGCTCTTGGTGTTTGGGAGCGGGGAGGAGGGTTTGCACCCACACGGGTAGTCTGAGGCGTAACAAAAGACAGAAGATCTCTTCTCCTTGTTTCCCTGTGGTATGTGTTACCCTTCTGCCACTGCCATCTGAAAGTGAAACGGAGTGTCAAAACTGTGTAAAATACATCAAATGGGTACATTGTCTTCTTTTAGGGTTTTGTAGGATATATTTTGGCTGTAATTCCTGTGTCCTCCTTGGTAGTTGAGTAGGACAAGTGTGCATGTGCTCCTGTCCTCCTCTCGTGCCGTGTTCCATATGGTAGTACAGATTTGCTTGCTCACTTGAGTTTTCTTAGCTGCGCTTTCTGGGATCACGATCCCCTGTGAAATGATTTTTTTTTTTTTTTTCCTTTTTGGAGATGGAGTCCTTGAGTAGGTGGTACAGCCTGGTGTTTTTCTTTGAAGGGAAGAGAGTAGTGAACTGGAAGTTTGGGGTATGCCGCTGACTTTCTGAGGGAGAGGGAGCATTTATTGTATGTTTAAGTTCTTTGTTTACATTTACTTGAGAAGAGCTTTTGCACTTGACTTCCTACTACTTTCCTAATGGTATTGAAGAATTCAGAAAAACCTGTCAAATGCTAACCCTTCTTGTGTCCTGCTTGTTGTCATTGAGGGTATTCTTAAATAAACCATAAGGAAACAGGTTTCTCTCCTCTGTTATTTTTCAATGATGTGCAAGCAGTTCTCACCTTCTAACTTTTACTGTAGAGGACAAGTGACTGTTATTGCAAGAAAAAAATGCTATTTCTTTTCTTACTTGACAGTGGGAGGTACTGGTTTTAGTTTGACTGGACCTCGTGGCTTTAAAAAATCCAGAGTGAAAGCTGTTAATGGTAGCAGGCAGCAGCAGCAGCATTCAGCAACTGTTTTTTTGTCTCCTTCCAAGTATTTGACCGTTCCCACACAAATAGCTTAAGAAATCCAGAAGAAAATCAAGAAGTTCTCCCTTACTTCTGACCGTGTATTTTTGCACAGTCTGTAGAGTTAGAAACAGTGGCTTTTAATGTATTAATTCTCTTTCAGTGACGGTACGTCTTAAGATGGTGCCTCAGTTCAGTTCAGAGGCCTAAACTTCCATGATTTAAATGAAATAATGGTTTCCACATGTTCATGCTCATACATGGCTGCGTTTTAAAAGGCATCACGCTTTCAGCGAGTAGATGCTCCGGATTTCTTTTGGAAGCTGAGATTGTTTCATGATGTTCAAGCATATGATCCAAACTAGTTTGTATGCAGTCATTTTTATTTTTTTCCCAATATCTTTATTTTTGCTTTTTTCTCATCATAAGTTCTTTTAAAGCGGTTCGGAAATGGTCTGGAGAAGCACAATAGAATTCATCCCTGCTGGTTCTTGAGGTGGTGATACATCAGTGTTTAGGTGATCACTATTATAACTGTTCCTAAATGAGTTTTTTTCTTATTCACCATGAAGTATACAGTTTTCAGTGTCTGTCTTGCTGATTTAAAACAGACACCTGTATGGACCATAGCTGCCTTTCCAAGGATAAAGGAAGAACAAAATTCAGGATGCTGGTTTTGCCCAAACCACCTTTTTGAGTGCTGCCTGCTGTAGGAGATAAGGATATGTGTGTTTTTGGCTGTTGCTGTCTCCTGGCTCTTTCTGGTGGTGCCATGGAGTCATTCCAGGTGTGGACTTCTGGATCCGGTGGCAGGATGGGTCTCAAGAGGAGGGGGTGAGCAGGGTGGGGAGAGAGAGGGAGAGAGAATTGCATTGATTCTTGAGTGGGAATTTGGAGTGACACCAAAAAGCTTTTGTCTTCTGTGCCAGTTTTGTTAAATTTCCAACAGTTTTGTTGGAATCTCAAACTTCATTGATTTAAAAATTCAAAATCCTGCTAGTTGATGTTACTCAGAAGTTAAAAACAATTGGGGTGTGCGTGGATGTAAGAACCTGTGACACTTCTTCGCTGTGCTGGCCTACCTTTCAATGGGCTTGTGGTATCCCTAGAGTACTTTTGGCAGGTAAGTGGTAGTAACGGCAACGCTCTAACAAATGGTTGCACTGGTCTCTGAGTCCAAAGTAGAATTTCATCTTCATTCTTCTTTCTAAGTAATAAATCAGGATATATTTTGTATGAATTACTGTGCCCATATTAATGACTCTGGAAATATGATAACTAATAGATAACTTTCCCTTTTCGTAAATCCAGTAGCGTAGTAAAAAAGCTCTGAAACATCTGAAAATTGGGGAAGTAATAAACCACAATATTTATGGTGTGGTTTTTTTTTTTTATTTTCTTGAAGTACATTGTTCTCTAGTGAACACCAGGCAGACGTGTTTACTAGAAATAAGCTTCACTCAGTCAAGTGTACAGACTAATAAGAGTGACTGGTTTGTGGTAGATAGTGCACTTTTTAGGCAAAGGCTTCCTGTCCTTATAGATAATTCCAGAATACCCCTATTTTTGTCCTCTTTCCGTCCTTAGGACTTTATCCACCAGCGATGATGTTGAGGACCGAGAGACTGAGAAAGGCCGCCTGGAAGAAGCTTATGAGAAATGTGACCGGGACTTGGATGAGCTCATTGTCCAGCACTACACGGAGCTCACCACCGCCATCCGCACCTACCAGAGCATCACGGAGCGCATCACCAACTCCCGCAACAAGATCAAGCAGGTGAAGTCTTGCTTTGCCTGCGTTTGTGTTGGCATCTGCTTGGTCACGAGTGCTCTGGGTGCAAATCCATGCAGCTCCTCTGCCGATCTTTTCCCTGTGTGCTGCCCTTTTATTGGTAATGCAGTGTGGTAAGCTCCCGGGTTAACCTTTTATTTCTCTCTCCCTTTTTCCAGCTACTTGTCATCATCTTGAACTGAACTAAAAAATGAATTGAGGCAGCGCTGTTGCCCACTAGTTCTGAACTAGGTCGGATTTTCAAGTTGCTGTGTGACGTGGCTAGGAGCGGACCATCCAGTCCTGATACGGTGGTCCCAGGGCTGTGTCTCACTAGCAACGTGCTTCCCATAGGATCTCTCTGTCGTTTGAGAACACAAGTAATGAGAAAGCAAACCGAGAGGTGGATATGAAGCGCAAAGCTTTGAGGTGCCCCCTGTTCATTTATTGTCTGAGCATGTTGCTATCAGGTTTTTGAAGTCTAAGGGCTGCTAAGCTAACACCTTTCCATCTAATCTGTTCATGTTTTGATATGTTGGCCTCCAGCCACCTCCTGAATAGTCCGGGTGATTCATCAGCTTGCTTTTCGCTCGGAGAATATGAATTTTGGTGCTATTTCCAAACTCAGTTCTGTTGTGTGAATGTACATGAACTCTGTGCCCCCGTATCTTTCTGCATTTTGAGTGCTCACACTTCAGTAGCGTGCCAGTAAATAACTCTGGCGCTCTTTGTTGTGGACTTGTTCCATCTGCTCTCTCCTTGCAGCAACAGATCAGTTCTTTGGTCTCCCATCTTATCTTTTTCTTCTTGTGTAGTTCGCCGTACCTGAACTTTGCAAAGTAGACACCAAATTTATTCTGTTGTTTTTTTATTTTTTTTTATCTTCTTTTTTTCTGACTCTGTGGATGTCTCATCTTAAAACCTTTCACAGCAGGGCTTTAGGAGCGGTAGGCTTTTACCCTTCTGGGGCTATGTACTGACCCTTCTGGCTTTTAAAATTAATTTAGCATTTTCAAAGAAAATGTGACCATTCTGATGCTTTCCAAGGGTAAGAGTTCATTCTAAGATTTATGTACAAGGCTCAGCACTTTGAAAGCAGAGATCAATTGCACTAAATTTGAAATAAACTGTCGCCGGTGGCCTGTTTTCACGCAGTATGCTAAGCTTTGCAGAGGTCAGAACAAACATGCAGGGGTGTCACCTTTTGGTCCTGCCTAGAAGAGTGAGTGTAAGGGTGAAGGACCTTTTGATATTTAAGTTTTCTTATTAGTTTTGGTCAATATATATTGAAGTAGCTTTGACCTAATCTCATGGGTGGCCCCAGATCTGGTTTGTCATCAATCTGTGTTAGACTACCAGACTTTCTTTTGATGTTCCCCCCTTGTGGAAGGTGGGTGAACGCACAGGCGTTGTGGAAGCGATAGATAGTCCAGATCCCTCTGTGTATCTACCTTTTGTAGCCAATTCTTGCCTTAATTTTTTTCCTGCTGGGAAAGTCTTGGTTTTTAATCTAGCCTTTAGAGATGTTACCACTGTAAAACGGTATTCTGAAGTAGAAACAACTTGGTCCACCAAAGGGAGATTCATCCTTAAAGATTTCACTGTTCACTCCTTCCTCTGCTCCCAAATGTAGATATAGTTGATCTTCTTTCTTGCAAGGAGCGGGGTAGGAATGTCTTGTGAGATTCCTTCTAGCCCCGTGATTGTTTTGCTGACCTAATTTGGCTCCATGTAACAGCCGTCCACTGATGGTGGTCAGGGAAACATTCTAAGTTAAGGTATTGAACAGGAATGAAGTCTGAAGTGAACTCGGTGTGTGTTTTGGTTTGCTTCTGCTTTTGCAGCGAGTTGACACGTCAGGTTTTCTGTTGGCTGAGGGTTTTTCTATGTTGTTCTTTTCAGAAGGACATTTTGGAGTGCGGCGTTGCTGTACTGAAATCTTAGTCTCTTCTGACTCTGGATGGAGGCTGTTTCATGTAGCTATTGTTATTTACCGGTTGTATGTATTTTATTCCAACCATGTGTTTCACATGTATTTTTTCTTAAATTACCTGTAGACAAACAAGGTAGGAGGATGTGCAGGTGAGATTTCTGGAGTGCTTTGAAGGCTCGTTATTTAAAATTAAATTGAAGGGCCTACTTCTGAGAGCCTCTCTTCATGTGTAATTCAGTGAGAGTTCAGCCTGAGAAAAGGTTGGACCCTAAGTGTTCATAACTTATCACAAAAACAAGAGTAGTGTGAAAGCAATGTGTGAAGCTGTGTTGCTAATTGCTTCCACATTTTAATATGTATTGTTGATTTGCATTATGCAAGAAAAGCTAGGTTATACTGACCTTACCAGAGGATACTGGGAGAACCTGGAAGCGGGGAATGCAGGCTGTGCTCTGGAGCAGAGAGAATGGAGAAGAAAAACACTTGATATTTTCTAAATGGGGTAGAATAGCAGAGACTTCAGCACTTAGAGAGGGTGGCATGAGGCTCAAAACCAAACTGAATGGCAGACACCAAGGTGTTTCTCTAGGTGATGTAATGGCCTTGGTCAATAGTGGAAGTGCTGACTTGAACTGTGCTTTAAGTGCTATTTGTTCTGATGAAACTGTATCTGCTACAAAAAAAGTGGGTATTGCTTGAGGCATTAGGGAAATTATTGTACTTTCAGATAGTCATGTTTTAAGACATGAACACCAGCCTTGAAGAAAGGAGGAGACGTGCCAAAAGTTTTAATAGGCAGATGGAAAATGTTTACAGCGGAAAAATTAGTAGTGGCTTATTTGCTTTCACTGAAAATTGGATTCTTGCCGTATGCCAAAATACTGAATTCATTTTTGAGAAACGTGCAAATAAGTCTTTGGTCGTGGTTAATAGGATCCTGCGTTTGTTCACACTATGATACTTCAGTTAAATTTTCACTAGTGGTATGAAACTTGTACTAAAACCAGGTCTGGTTTGTATGTGCTATGTTTCCTTTTGGCCAAAGGAATAATCAGAAATTTTAAGGAACCCGGATTTGGTTATAGTCTCGTGATATTTTTGGAATTCCTAATAAAGTAAACGTGGGAAAGGGCTGATCTGTGATAGAAGTGCCAGCTGCAGGGACAAATTAATTAAACTTTTGACGTGTTGCTTGTAGGTGAAGGAGAATCTGCTGTCGTGCAAGATGCTGCTGCATTGCAAGCGGGATGAGCTGCGCAAGCTGTGGATTGAAGGGATTGAGCACAAACATGTCCTGAATTTGCTGGATGAGATCGAGAACATCAAGCAAGTGCCTCAGAAGCTGGAACAGTGCATGGCCAGCAAGCACTACCTCAACGCAACGGACATGCTGGTAAGATGTGGTACCTCATGCTGGGCCAGTATCTACCAGAAACACACGGGTCAGCTCTCTGATCATCTGCAGACAGATCTGCTGTCCTGTGCTATTATTGGCCTTTTTTCCTGCTTAGTTTCTTCTTTTGTCATTTGCTGCTTTCTTGTACTGGAGTTTCTGTTCAATTTTGGTTTGGTCCTTCCTAATGGGACTTAGGGTTAGCCTCCCATCCTGCTCAGTTAGCTCTTGTGTTTTGGAACTGTCTTGGCCTGATCCTGATAATTTCTGTAACATCTAGTTCTTTACACAGGCTATCTGCACGTAGGATTGCCTTCTGCTTGTGCCACCTAGTCCATATCTTAAAATTAATTTCCCAGGCACCTGTCTGTATCATCTTTCTTTATATCTTATCAATTATTTCAAAAACATTTTCGTTGTGGAAGAACTATCCTGTTTCTCTCCTGTTTCATCTCCCAGAATGCACTCACAGCTTTGGTCATTGTTCAGAGGGGAGACTGTCTTTCACCACTTAGGTGTGTTTGCCTTATGCTGTCTTCCTCTAGGTCTGTTACCAGGACTTTTGATCTTTTTACTTATTTCCAGTTCTCTTTTCATCTTTTTTTCTCCCTCCCTTCAAGTGTTTTTCCCCTTCAGCTCCATCTCTCTTATAAGCATACCTTTCAATTCCAGTCTTACGGTGGAGGTAGAAGTTTCCTGGACTTCTCTAATAACAGTCTTTTTCTTTCTCGTGGTTCTAAACTTAACAAGTGTGCTTCCTCACCAGCCTCCAGCCCTTTCTTTCCTGGAACTGTCTTCTACCAGTAATGAAAAATTTCATAAGGGAGTTAAATCCCTTCTACTCAGTCCTGACATGTGGAGTGTCGAGTCCGGTTCTGGGCTCTCCAGTACAAGAGAGAGATGGAGTTACTGGATGGAGTCCCGTGGAGGACCACAAAGGTGATTAAAGGACAGGAGCATCTCATGGGTAAGGAGAGGCTGAGAGAGCTGAGACTTCTTCACTGGGAGAAGAGAAAGCTTGGGGAGATCTTATCAATGGTTATAAATGTCTGATGGGAGGGTGCAAAGGAAACGGAGACAGACTTTTCTCAGTGGAGCCCAGTGACAGGAGGAGAGGCAATGGATGCAGACTGAAACATAGGAAAACCCGTCTGAATGTAAGAGAACGCTCTCGTGCTGCAGGGATGGTTGAACACTGGGACAGGTTGCCCAGAGAGGTGGTGGAGTCTCCATCTGTGGAAAACTTTCAAAACCAGACTGGCTGTGGTCCTGGGCAGCTGGCTCTAGGTGACCAGGCTTGAGCAGGGGGGTGGGTAAGATGCTCCCCAGAGGTCCTTTCCAACCTTAAGCAGTCTTTGATTCAAGAGTGAAGGCAAAAGTGTGTCTGTTCATATTCCTCTTTGTATTTGCCGGAGAATGCCTTTAAGGAAATCTTTTCATTGCCTTCCTTTGTTATTGTTTTTTTTTTTTCCAACTTTACTGTCCTTTGTATTTCTCTTAGCCATTTTAATAAGTTGTTATTCAACAGGATAAAGAGCTGGAAATCGTAGTGTTGTCGCCTCATATTCCTAGAGCCCCGTCTTGAACTTTAATTTCCTTCTTTCCGTTTTATCTCATTTTACCCTAAATATCATTGTCTAAAACTTGCCTTCTTTCCTTTGAAACGTTTTCAACAGTTTGATGTGACTCTCCTCATACCTTTCTCTGGTGGCATGTGTGACCCTGTCTGGATTTCTCTTGTTGCTGTCGTGTCCTCTTGTCGAATTTCTGTTTCTTTTCTGTTGCTCATGTTCTGATTTTCATGCCACACCTTCTGCAATCATCTTTCTATGATCTGGTCACAATTTTCCCTTTCTTCCTTTTTAAAACCATCTTCCAGGCACCCTCTCAATCTTCCTCTCCTTAGAGTCTCACTGTCCTCCTAAGATGAACTATTGTCTTACATTTTTCCCACCGTGCTGTGAGCCGTCTGGGATGGGTCATGTATCCGTTTCTGTTGTGTAATGTAGGGTGGAATTTTTATGATACTTTATAAAATGTTATGTAAAACCTCTTAGTCTTCCTGAAAACAGATCAGCAATGCAATGACTTGAGGCAGCGTGTATGAGAAAGGCGCAGGCAGGTTTTGCCAAAACTTTTGTCAAGTTTCTGATCTAGGAGATTGGAGTGTGGGGTTTGCCTGATACTTTCAGTTGTGGGAGATGAAGAGGTAGATGTAAATCAAGGGTGTTCAGTGCAGGGTGAAAAACATGGAATTCAGAGTTAACATCAGTATCAGTTGAAATGTTGGTGCTTTCTTTTACTGATGGGACCTCCTTGGGTTGTGGGTTTTCTTTTGTTTTTAAATTCAAAAAAGTTCTTTTCAGAGGAAATTCCAGGAAACTAATTAATGTCCTATCTGAAATAAAAGATAGGAAGTGTAAGAAGAAAAATAACGGTACTTAGGATTTGTCATGTGATATGCTTCCCTATCTGAAATAAAAGATAGGAAGTGTAAGAGGAAAAATAATGATACTTAGGATTTGTCATATGATATGCTTTAGAAATGGTTTGCAATAGATGTATTTGTTGGCTTGCAGTCTATTGTGTGGGCAGTTTTTTGTCTGCACACTTGCAGCATACCCACACACACATAGAGATAGAGATAGAGCTGGTATTAGACCTCACTGAAGTATGGACTTCCGTAGTATACTGTGCTGGTTTTTGTGGTTGACTTGTTGTTTTTTCTTTTCTTTTCTTTCCAGAATAGACTATATTTTGTAAGAAATTGAATAATAATGGTATAAAAAGCAGCTGTTAGATTTCTAATTTTTTTTTTTTTATATCAAGAGAAACCTCAAGTGAAAATTGAACACAAATCTGTTATTTGCCTTTGAAGACAAGTTTACCTGTAATAAAGAAATAGTAACCTACCTGCATTTGGAGCTTTTGCATAGACAAAGATCGCTGTAGGCTCATTGGCTTTTGCCACCTTCTGTTAGCGCTGCCTCTGCCAGACTGTGATGCTGTGATCATTCATTGGCTGCAGGATGATTCCTTTCTCCTTTTCTATGATATGAATATTGTGTAAAATAATGACTAAACTGTCAGGGGTGCAGAGTGTATATAGATCTCTGCCCTTCTGTTGCATTCCTCCAGGTAAACAGATGCTCATGGCTTATAAAAAGCCCAAAGTGATCTAACAGGAAGCTTGTATCCCTCACCCTGAAATTGGAGCACGGATTAATATTGTTGCTTGTAGCCTTGTGATACGTACAGTCGAAATTAGACCTTTGCAGTCATCGTGTTAGGTTGATGCAAGCGCTCTAATGGCATAATTTCTGGTTGCTGCATCGCATTTCTGCAGACTGTTCTTTGTATTCCGCTCACATTAATTGAAGTAATTTTGCCACTGAAGCGTGTTTCAAACCTCTGCATTTAAATTGAAATTTTAATTCCCTTATTGTTTGGAAAAGACGGCTGAAGATGGCTTGTTACAGGTTTCATTATCACTCAAAACTCTCCAGCTGCTGGTTCTAATGTGCGATGACTGAGTAATGCTGGGAAGGATTGTTAATAAAAGAATGGCAGCTTTTCCCAGTAGTATGAACACAATGCAAAGGTATTTTATGACAGCTTCCATTTGTATGAAGTTAAAAATTTTAAGTGGCAGTTTTTTTGTTTCTGATTCTGTATCCATCTAGAGTAGCACAGATGAGCTTCAAATACCATGTATTCACGTTCTGTGTTCGTCCAGCATCTTGATCATACACCCTCTGGCGAGCAGAGCCAGTCGGATCAGGTTTGCTCTTCTGTAATTGCACCTTACACAGGTTGGGTTAAAAGAACCTCGTTCCAACTGCCTTGATTTGTGAACCTTCGAAGCAATTAGTGGGGTCGGGAACAGGTAGAACTGTTTGAAATCAAATACATGTCAGTTATTTTCAATTTCTGCGTATGTGTTTTTTTTTTAAAGTATGAGTTTGTACGTTTTTCTGCGACGGATCTGTTTTTTCACGCTTTGTTGCTAAAAGTAACGCTCACTTTTATGTGGTGATGGAGTGCACGTGCACACTTAGGGGTGTATTTTCTGTTGAACATGACAAGGAGGCTGAGGGGAGACCTTATCGCTCTCTACAACTGCCTGAAAGGAGGTTGTAGTGAGGTGGGGGTTGCTCTTCTCCCAAGTAACAAGCGATAGGACAAGAGGAGATGGCCTCAAGCTGCACCAGGGGAGGCTGAGATTGGATATTAGGAAAATTTCTTCATTAAAAGGGTTGTCAAGCAGTGGAACAGGCTGCCAGGGCGGTGGTGGAGTCGCCATCCCTGGAGGTATTGAAAAGACGCATAGACGTGGCGCTGAGGGACAGGGTTTAGTGGTGGACTTGGCAGTGCTGGGCTAACGGTTGGACTCGCTGATCTTAAAGGTCTTTTCCAACCTCAATGATTCCATGACCAGGTGCCGAGAGGGGAATGCTGATGCAGAAGGAGCTTCCTAAGAAAGGCGGTGGGCAGTCTCCAAAAGGGAGAGCAGCAGAGCTGATGGCAGAGGCACGTTGGGGCTGGGGGTGTAGTTAGCACTTGGCCTGGAAGCGCAAGCTTGGCTGCTAGAAGGCAGGAATCCAAATTCTTCTGGAAAAACTGTTTTAGATGTGCTACACAAGCCAAGCCAGAACTTGAAGCAGAGGGCGCACAGCAGATGGGCAGCAGCGGGCAAGGACAGAAGGTTTCTTGCTTGGAGGAAGCAGTTCCATGTCTAGTCTCCCCCGGCACTGGGCTGTGTATTGGAGGGCAGTACTCTCTGCCTAGCAGTTGCTTAATTAACTCAAGTATTGGAGAGGTCTGTGGTGCTGATCTAATTGTTCTGACTCTACTGTTGACCCGTGAGGTACCCATAGGGAGAAATTAGTATTTTCCATTTGTTTAAATAATCTAAGAGATGAAATGCTAAAAACAGTGGAAAGAAGACATGTTGTTGAATCAAGTAATTAAAGGTCATATCATAATACGATTAAATGAAA